TATACGTAATGTGACTAATCCCACTTGAAGGCGACATTATCGAGAGTACACGCGTATATGGGCGCCAGGTGGAATTGTTTGGTAGGGCAAGAATGAGCGTGCAAGAACGCGTTCTGATTGTGCACGCGTCCCGAGATTCTCTGCTAATACCCCACGTGTTGACCGTTGACCCGTTTGCCCTGCACGTCATTACGCAGCACGATATTATAATTATAATGAATACTTGATACAATAATTCTTCTGATTAATTCGTATGCCAATTAATTTTTTGTAACGGTCGTTATGAGGATCGATCGATCTAACGACGAATCGTTTAATGAGTTAAACACAAACAAATACGGAGGATTCCCTGTGCTACACACGCCGATGAATGATGAAGATGAGCTAGATGAATCGTCGTGTCGTGACGTTTCAGCTAAATTATTTTTAAGCCAGACAATTTGGTGGCCACGACCAGCGATGGTCGAACGGACTCGCGTTATGCAAGAAGCAGGTGTTGCTGACGCGACGCGACGTCTCGTTGGGAAGTCCACCGGAGATGCCTCAGGGAAGATTGAAAACGAAACACCGCGTCGATGGTGCTTTCATTTCTTATGAACGAGAGCCGATCTGCTCGAAACCAGGACGTGAACGTCACGATTCTACGTCACGTCAAGTATCTTTTATTCGATTGGCCCACGTAGGGACTCGCCGAAATTCGTAAAAACGAATCTGCTTCTTCTCGTCGATCGATCATGCGCAACGATTCGCGCGAATAAAACGAGATGTACAGGAATTTCTGAAAGACAAAGATAGAACGAAAGCATGAAACGCGTGTCTAAAAATAACACGTCCGATCGATCCTTGACCAAAACGTTCGTGGAACATCTATAAATGTCAATGTGTCTTACGTTCTGAAAGTTAATTTTGCATAACGAACGCAGGAACCGATTGGAATTTCTGTGCAAAACGATTTTTTACGGTGCTCATCCTCGTACCGTTTTCTATTTTCAGATCTGGCATCGACTAAAAATAAAACGTACGGAAAAAAGTTCATTGAACGATCCGTTTAAGATTTAAGTCGTGAACGACGGCCGATGTTATGGAATAACGTTTAACATTAAGACGTTTCATCGTTCAACCATCAAAAGACCGTGTTCTCACTCTGTTTAATAGGAAATCGTTGTACACTTTTTTCATCCGCATTCATAATTTACCTTTCTCAAGAATCGAATTTACGCGGCGCATGCTGGACCTTTGGGTCTTAAATCGGAACGTGTTTGCCGACGTTACGCGGTTCCGTGTACAAAGTTCAAAGTCTCGGTGTTCGTTTCACGAACGATAGGAAATTTATATGATCTTCTTATGTATCTTTTTTCTCGCTAATATTAAAATTGCACTTGATCTTCTGATGACGACGTAATTCGTCGACGATATCGAACATAGTGTCAGCTCCAAACTCTGTCCTCACATTTAATTTCGACGGTCGATTCGAACGACGGATCATCGGAGCGATTAACGATTCTCTACAAAGACACTTGGAGACAGAGAGCGGGCGTGCGAGGAATTTCAAGTACGCCGTGGGCACGAGAGGAGCCATCGGAAAGGACTCTTATCCGATTTATAGGTACGAGAACTCGTTCGAACGTGAACTTGGAAAGGAACTTTTCGTCGAAGGGACCAAGTGAATTTCCACCGTGCCGAGTTAATATAATTTCGGTACGCGGATAACGTATGCGTGAGTACGCTGCCGTCGCGCGTTCGCACCCACCCGCCACGTGGCGGAACTTATTTAGGGCAAGAGGAATATTTTTTATATCTGGGTCCCGGTAACTTTGGCAATGTATCGAACGACGTTACGGTCATGGCAAACGTTATCGTATAAGTATGAATCTCTCGATCCACGAAATGCTCCGGACAAACGTCTCGTCTATTCTTTTTTTTCTTTTTGGTAAATTCGTCGGAGTACAGTTTCAAGAAAATTAATCTCGTCTTTATGGCTCAAAAACGTTCTACACTTCGATCTGAATCGCCGCTCATTTCTCACCTTCCTCTCGACACCGAACGAACATTTTCGTATTGAACGATATTCAAATGACTACGCTTCGCAGACGTCTACTACTTGGGAAAGTTTTCTCAGCAACTCCAGTTGGTGTACTGGAGACGTATTATTCCAACAGTATCGTGAAAATTGTCATGCAGAATCGATTAATTTTGAGTGTATTCATAGAGAGGAAAAAAAAAGAAGCAAGTTATTCTCCCGTCTTGTCTGTTTCACGTAATGAGATGTAAATTTATGAGCTCGTGCACGTACGTTTATTCGTTAGACAAGATCTCTGATAAAATCAACAAGATTTACACCTTTCGTCAAAGTACAATTACGAAGGAAGCACTCGACGGCTTATCGCATCGCGTGGACAATCACTGTAGGCGTTTGAAAAATAATGTACGTGATCAGACGTCGACGCGTAGCAGATATCGGGAAAGAAACGATTTAGGTTCGATCGTCTCATTGTGTACACAAACGAGGATGATTCAGATCCAAGTAACGGCAATGACGAATGATTCGATGGATTTTCTCAAACTTTTCTCAATGACGTCAGATCGTCCGAATTCTTGATTTAGAAAGCTTCGCTACGTGAACATCCTCTTCGTAGCCCGGTCAAATTAATTCACCCGACTCTCTGTGTCGTAATTGATGGTCGACATAAAACGATGAGAGCGCACACTACTTACGCATCCTTTAACACTGGATCTACCAAGGGTGGTAAAAATTACTTCTTTTCCACTTCTTATGATCATTGTTCATTCTCAGTACATTTTTATAAAATTTCGCATGACTTTTTCTAAAACGTACAAATAAATAATTCTGGAAAACAGTGTTCTCTCTCGTTTCTCTTTTTTCGTCTCTCGAATGATACCCTACTCGAAAGATTACATTGCTCACTGTACTTGTTCAGAAACCATCGAGAACGAGAAATTCCTGGAGAAGGCTCTTATTTACCACCGGTATGTCGAAAATGAATGCGAAACATGGCCAGCACGCAGATATGTACCGCTATTATTTAAACAGGATTCCAGACAACAGGTCCAAGGTGCGAAGCGCATCGTCAAAAACAATGCCCTTTTCGTCCGAGAATAGCCTGCCTCAAAAATTTCTCATCCGAACTAGAGGCTAAACAGACGTGCTCTCGGTATCACGATCAGCGATTCTCATTGCGAAAAAATAATTTATGCACCGAGGAATAAAGATAAACGATGAACGAACATAAATTCGAATCAGAGTTGACTAATGAGTACAGCGAGAGGAGGACGGGTTCCCGTAATTGAGAACGGCAAACGAAATAACTGCGCTATCGAATCGATAAATCGATTAATCATTAGCAGAGATCTCCACGATTCGTAGGAATTATCGTTGTAACGTGCAGCGGTAATCGCTCATCATCCGATCCGTTGTCTCTTTAGAGTGACTGATCGCATTTGCAACCGAACGCACCCGTTATAGGCCATTAGCGCGATTTATTGTGTGCCGAGTAACCGACGCTCGTGGAATCCCCGATGGCTGATGCGTTTAAGTCTGACAGAGCGGCACTCGCGATGGCAAACGATTTAACATAAGAGATTTCGAAAAATACTTGGGTGAACGTAGGTACATCTTACGATTTCGTTCGATTCGAGATCTTCGAATTTCTCAATTTCCAATTGGGTTCCAAAACAAATCTCCAATCTTTGTAATATTCTATAATTCTTGATACACGATTTAAGAATATTTTAAAGTTGAAGCAATGTCACGATAATGTTCGAGGATAATACTTAAGGCATACAATGAAAAGTACGGAAAAGTACGGAAAAGTACGGAAAAGTACGAACTGTAGGACACGTAGACAATGCAGACTCACACAACCTTATATAACTTGTAACGATAATTTTTTCGAGAGGTCAGTATTTGAGTGAAACGGAGGTGTCAGAACTGAGATAAAGAGGTAGACGAATCCGGCATATTGACAATGGCCATGAACAAATGAATTTAGTACAATAGACGCGGCGACAATGAATTGTGTCGTAACATTCGTGGCAAAAAACAAAAATGAGTTCGCAGATAAACAACCAACTATCCATTCGTAACTCCGCATTCCGATCGTCCGTATTGTTTCAGATCAGATTGATAAAACGTTCACATCATTCGTCGCGCAATCCTAGAAACATTGACACTGAAGCACCGATCAAGGTAAATACAGGTAGCGCGCAGTCATTCCCATCTTCGACAGGAAAACTCCGCGCGACACGATTTGCAATCACGTCAAAATTTTCCCAATGGAACCGTTGCACTGAATTGCGAAATTTGTTACGTCAAGATCTAAAAGAAGTTTCCATAAAGCTACTGAATCATTCGGTTATACATAGACATACCTGTTTCGCCGTTACCCACCAATTTCGAATACCGAATCGCTTTGCCTATTTTGTAATTTCGTTCACCGAGCGATACCGAGAACGACTCACGCGCGTTTCTTCGAATTTTATATCTAGTAAATCGTAATTGAAAACGTCATTGACTCGAACGAATTCAAAGCTTTCACCATTGGCGCAACCAGATCCAAATCACTCGTAACCCTTCCCTAAATCACCGAGTCAGAATCTCCCTGATGATTCATCGTGACCGATCCGTCAGGCCGTACAAGTCGTACCTGTTGGTTACCATTCGATCGGGCCGACATTTTCGATCGTTAAAGACCTATCGAACCACGTCGACTCTCGTTTCGGCAAAAACTTGTCACGCAAGCGGACAGAAACGGAGGAATTGAAAAATCCTGTCAACAAGTCGACCGATCTGTGACTCGAGTTTTAATTATAAAAAAACGCATCTGGCCTTTATTGTAATCGCGATACTCGAAAATCCGGACGGAGCTCGGGCACGTCACGCATGTGCACCGTGATCGGCGGGTCTCTGGCGTGATCCGCGAATTTCAATCGATGGTGGAAGACGCACCGTGGCCCCTTTTTTCTCACGGTTATCTCTCTTATCTGGTCGCGTCTGGTGACGAAGCATAAAGGTGGAAAAGGTGAATTCAGGGAAAAGTCGGAGCAGAAAAGTGAGGGAGGATTCCGAGTGGGGTACGCGTCCCGGTGGAGGGGCGAAGCCGGGCGGCACTGCTCTCTTCGGGTATATATACTCGAAGCGGGCGAAGCTACGGTACAGTTCACCAAGAGACAAAAGCGACAAAAGGACCAGCCGTATCGACAGGCTCAGGCGATTATCAATTTTTTTGTTCCCGAGGCACGAGCGACGATCGAATCGCTGGAGACAAGTTCAGTTTTTCGTGAAGAAGAAATATCGGTAGTGTCGAGGGTTGTGCACCGAGGACCGTGTCCCTTGGAGTCGTTTCAGTTTTTGTTTCGCCCGATCTCGTTACTTCCATCGCGATGGTGAAAAATACGAAGAGCTTCACGGCATCGCGCACCGGCTTGACCACGATTTTAATGGTGTCGTGCACGCTGAACGTGATCCTGATGCCGGGATCGACCTACGCCAGGCCACCATCTCTGCTCAGGTAACTACCCGAACTCTGTGAGTTCTTTCGATTCGTGAAACAGCACTTTCAAATCTATTCATTCGAATCGTACACCAATTTCCTAAATAAAAATTGCTCGTGTTCTGCGGCGGAAAAAATTTCAGAGTCCTAAATAGTCGGTGATGATGATGACGACCATAGAAAATTGTTACTTTCAAATGGTTCCACAGAGTACTATTGCTATGATACCAAGTTCCACTGACGTAGCTTTAAATAAAAAGGCTGGCCTCGAATTAGTATTCTATGGGGATGACCCACCACTGTTTCTCTGTAGAAACTTTCTCTCCAAACGCTAATGACTGCTTTCGATTTATTTCGTTTAGAAACAGTTTGTTCCTCGACAATATAACACCCGTCGAACGTCGCGTGTTTCCCGTGAAAAATTTTCCTTTGCTCTCAAAAGGGAAAAAACCGACGACGACGACGTCATGCGAACGCTTTCGAACCTCGAATCCGATCGCGATCTGTCCGATTAACTTTATCGAATTCGTGTTCGTCCGCTTCGCGACGACTTTCGTCGCATCTCTGCACAGCGTCCCTGGAGAGCGTCGTCGGCTCGTTCAACAGGTCGGGAGACGAAAGGTATTTTCGACGAGGGTAGGCGACGGATTTCGATTGAGACCTTCTCCTTTTGCTCCTCCTCTATGGGGACTCCCACGAACATCGATAACGGGACCGGATGATAACGAGAGCTTTGTCTCGCGTGTATCGAGAGATTAGCATTCGATTGAAGATACGAAATTGACGACGATCAGCAAACACGGTATTATACCTACGGCTTGTAATATCATCGCAGTTACCCTTTTACGTCACCGACGATATGAATTTCTTGTTATCGCGTCGCAAAACCTTTTTGACGAAGCGATTCACGCCAGGTGCGACACTCAAGATGAACTCGATGAGCATTCGTCGAGTTTCGATAATTTTTAGAGTTTCTCTGTCTTCGTTCTCGAATCATCGATCCTCGATTCGAAACGGACGATTAAACGCGAACGACGTTAACGAGGCAAGAGGGAGGAGAACACGGGGAACATTGAATTCGCAACAGGTTGCAAATTCGATCTGCAAAGACGACGGCCCGTGCCGGCCGGTTCTCCTCGGGAACGATTTCGCGACTCCCGCGAAACTTTGCTTCACCGTGATTATTTGTCTTGACCGTCGTCATGCAAGTCATCGCGTCAAGTGTCCGTGACCGATTATCTAAGTCTCAACGATCTCGACGAGCCTCCGACTACTCGTTTTCTCTTTTCCAGTTCCGGTGATAATGTTTAATGATAATTCCCCGCTCCGGTTTAAACGAGACTTTTTAAGAGAGACGGATCATAACTCAGAACGACGTAAGACGAATTCCCAACTCCGACAGGTGCATTAAACATATTCTTTGCCACATTCCAAACGCTTTCTCATCTCCTCGTTCGTCAATGCTCATAATTGACTTCATACGATACTCACCGTTCTCGGTTAAATCTCGGTCTAATTGAATTAAGCGAACATAATGCACCTTCCCTGTTTCTACGTGTATCGTTTGAACTTGGAACGATCATTACTGCCACTAGTATTTTTCCTACAGATAATCGTAAGATTTCTCCTTATCGAGGTATCGCAAGTATAATACATGTCGGGCAGTAATGTAACGAACGTGTAACAAGATATTTATCGGGAGTCGGGACATTTTTCCACAGTTTAACGACAGTTTAACGACAGTTTAACGACAACTAATTAATTATAAACTGATTAATTATTTACGATCGTCTGACTCATCAATCTCGTTTTAATCAAAGTCGCAGTTAAAAATATTCTCTGGATTCCCTCGATAAAACGGCGCTTCTATTTTTACCAGCGTTTATCGCAAAAGTTAATCGACGCTGACGTTCACACGTTTCGTGTGTGCCATGTTAATTAGAATGATTCACGACCGCAACTTCTATCGGTACAGAAATCTGATCTTCGATTAGTTTACGTACGGCTAAAACTAATGTCCTGTTAATAATGATTATGTGTTCGTTTTGCAGCAGACAGAGGCGTGTGTCGGATCAACGATTGGCCGAGATAGAGACGCTTTTGGGGCTACAGAATGTCAGAGGAAAAGTGGTCACGGTTCCAGTTGCATTCGGTGTTCTGGATCCAGACAAGATGTGAGTAATCGCGTCAACTCCCTAATCGTTCATCGTCAATCGAGCCAAAATCGTAGTACGTAATTTATGCGTACGATAGTTTGTCTGACGAACGCAGCGATAAACGTCGGATAAATGATGTTTTCTAATTATAACGAAGCTTCGTCATCAACGATCTAGGATCTCTATGCGAGGTCAATCGTCGTCGAGCCTTATCGTTCATTCAAGGCCGTGGGAACTCGTTCAGAAATTAGTTCAGACGTGTGTGTGTGTCCGTATAAATTAGCGCGTCGAGAAACGATGACCTCCCCGGTGAGCGACTGTAATCGGATTTTACGTAACGATGCCCATTCGAGTTCGGCGTGACCACTGTAGACGGACGAGATACCGCGAGGAACCCCTCGGTTCATCGCCGAGCGACGATACCGCGAGTCCCGGATTTCCCTAATTTCCAGATCTTCGTTTCTCGTCATATCGCGAAAATGGGGCGCACGTAGCTACGAGCCACGTCGGCATTGAAATTCAACTTGTTGCTTCGCGTCCGCGTGACAGGGGCGAGAACTACCCTCTAACGTGGTGGTCGGCAGGGGTGACCGCCACGAATAAACACGAAAGAACGGCCGACCGTAACATTTTCTAGAGAACGTTATTAACACCGTGTCCTGGCCAAGTAATTCTCGCTCTGCCGTAGAAATTGTCGACCAATGAGAATATACGAGTGTTTGGACCGGATGCTCGGCCGTGTTATTTTTTGGGGCCGCAAGAGCCGTAGGGGTTTTGAAATTGATATCGGGGAAAATAACGTTCCCTCTATTCTCTAGATAGAGGTGGAAATATACGATTAACTAACGGAGCACAGTATATTTTCAAATAAAATAACTTTCTCCCTACGTGCTCTACTCATGTAAAAATCCTGCCGAGAATCGACCACACGTTCGTCATTATTTAAACATTCTTCGTACGTGTGTTATTCTTGTATAAATAAAATTCGAAAATAGATGGTTCCCTATTTGTATTTTCAGTTAAAAATAGTTTCTGTGTTTTGGAAACATCGAAAGGAACATATTTTATTTCTATTCGATTCTCTGTTTTCAGTCATAAAGAATTCTTAACAATTTCTAATATTCTGACACACAGTTTTGGTATTTTTTGATCGGACTGTACGCGACTTGCAACTTAAATCGTGTATTAAGAATTATACTAAATTACAAAATTCCGTCATTGTTGGATTCATGTTTTTTCACGAGTCAAATCAAAACTCTGTCGTTCGGCACGAGAACTCAAGATGCAATAACCTTTTTAACGGATGTTTAAATTTACGTAAAATTATGTAGCACGTCGTTGTTCTACGTTCTACGCCACAGGCAAGGATCATGTTCTCGTTTCAAAGGCAAACAGAATGCAAAATGTATCACTGGAGAGGGGCATTCTGATAATAGAAATTCGAATAATGAATGCACCGTCATCATTTTGTCAAATGAACTCTCGCTAAAGTGCAAATTACAATGTAAATTTTTCATTTTTCGCCTACGGGAAGTGCAGAAGCACATGGTTGAAACCCGTGGGGATCATAACGCGTATATAGCTGCTCACGGTTACCAACACCAGTGTAATTAATATGAACGTTGTATAATTAACGATGTCTCGATCGCAACACGATTCGACATAATTGTAACTTTTGTTGAGAGAACAGTTCTCGTCACGTGTCGTTCGCGTACGCAAATAGTATAATATAATCAGGACGATTCGGGCGCGAAGAATGGCACAGGGAACGCTAATGGAGCTCCTGACGCTGTAACCCGGTTATCTTCCGGGCACCGGATGCCCTTCGAATAAATTTCTATTCGGACACGTTGCCTCGTCGACGGTAGAGAAAATTTGCTTAAAACCGGATAAAGCCAACGATTCGCCTTTTATTCGCGTTTCGATGTGCCAACATTTGCACTCCGAACGAGTTTCCCGGTGTCTCTCCCTGCCCCATTTTCGTCTCTCGGATACGTGACAGTTCGTTTTTCCACTCGTTGAACGCGCCAATCGATTCTCGAAACAGGACCGGAAGAATTAAGAATCCGGGCAAGAGGTCAGCTTTGCGCGAGAGAAGAGAACGTCGTCTTCTTCTTACGTCTGTTCACAAACTACGAGATCGCCGCTGCGCGAACCGGGAAGGAGGATCTTATTTTTAAAACGATGACTGTTCGTGTTGCGCGATTCGAAACGAAATCACTGATGCAAATCGACGGGGCCTTCGCGTATCGGAATCTCGCGATGACCGACGAGTCCGTGAAACAATTTACCGTCCAAGTTCGTTCGTCGGGAAATCTTGCGCGCAGGGATCGAACGACCACCGGGAATTTCGCGCAATTACGCGGGGAAACGCGAGAACTCCCAGAGGATCCGACCGACTCGACGTTACGACGCTGCCTGCCGCTTCGTAGAACGGAAACTTCAGGAATCCGTTTTGCAGAGAACAGTTCAATTGGAGATCTTCAGAATACCATCGAAAATTGACGCATCGCGGGTTCGTGTAAAATTATATTGGACGCGACTGCCGCTCTGTACCGTCGCCAAAAATCTAAACGGAGAACGAACCATAAATTGCGACGTTCCACACGGAAATCTACGTCGAGTTGCATCTGTAAACGCAAACGCCAGTAATGACGAGTCATCGGTGTGTGAACCGCGATTTTTGTAGTAGCGATAAGCGAGGATGAATCGCGTGGCGCCGCAGCCGTTGCGCTATTCGACCACGCTTTACACAACTCTCAACTATTTTCTGACGCGATAAGGCGCGACGAATAATAATTTGTACCCGATGATTGCACGCTCGACGATTCGTCACGCCGGCACGCATCACGCATCCTTTTACACTTTCGAAACACGTGCGACACGCGTGATCGAGTTAAACTCGTGCGTCTAGTCTCCGGACGGGCGGAAAGAGCGCCGAGAGAGATTCACGATGAGAAAGAAAATTGCCCGTAAATAATTTCGTTCATTAAAAGCATATGCCCGGTACGTTGAGCCACGAGTGATGTTCCATTGAATGCGGAAGATTTTTGCCAGCCGGCTTAACGATCTTTTACGAACGTGGGTCAACGGGTTCTCTCCGTGACACCGCGCGAATCCCGTCGTGACTGAAAGTTTATCCCAACTCCCGATTTCTCGACGACCCGTGTTCGTTGAGACTTTGTTTCGTCTTTCAACCGTGCCATTGTCATTGACATCTCTGCATCATGCATAGTACAATTAACGATGTATTGGCTGTACAGTCAATCCCAAAGGTTTATGCACTTTAGAAACGCATTTTTTAAAAAGAAATCAGACGTCGGAAGAACATTGCTAATAATAAACAACAACAAAAATTTTTCGATTTTTCCG